AGAGATTCACCCTTAACATTTCACTTTATTCAGGCTTTTTTCCCATAAAAATTTTCTTCCGTGCTGGTGCTGCTAAAATTGACTGTATTTCAAGCAGCTGTGTTGCACACTGTGCCTGCAAGGTGGTCAAACATTTCAGTATGTTTTATTCCATGCTGGATACAAACAACCCCCCGCCTGGTTTTAACCATTTCTTCTCTCTGAGCATCCTGTTTGCTACCAACTGCTCTGCGAGGTTCATTGATTTTTCCCTGCTGGCACCAGCAGTTGGTTAACTTTTACACTGAAGAAGGGAAAGTCTCTGTAGCCTTTGTTCCTGAAGGCTTTTATTCTGAAGTTGGAAAAGAAGTGTCTGAACATGCATTATATCCAACAAAAAAACCCAACAAAACAACGGAAGAGACACATTACTGCAAATGCAGGAGATGGAGTGGCCTGCTAAAAAGCATCTTTCTTTTTATTTTATGTTATTAATATAATCCGGAAGTTTTTTGTGCCATGGAGAGCCCACCTGGGCCATTTGCACGTTGCAGCACATCAGCCATTAGGGCAAACTAATGGGAAACTCTGGGAAAATGTGTCCTGTCAGAGTGGCTGCAATAGGAGCAAATGGTGTTGGCCATGGTTTTATCACTGTGTTCAGGGTCTTTTGGAGAATGATGGTTCTTTTAGAAAGAGATAAGGCAGAAGGAGGAATAACCACTCAGAATGCCACTTAAAGTCATTTTTTGATGGGATCTGGACCCCACGGGGACTGTGGATCTGGGTTGCTCCTTGGCTGGGCTCCCACCTGGGTTGGTCTCTGCCTTCTGCATCCCGGCGAAATCCATTAGCTGATAGGGGGAAGTTATGAGAGAGGTCAGATTTGGTATCAAGAAGTCTTGATGTGAATCTTAATGGTAAACAGAAAAAAGTAGGTTACCAAATATTATGTCGTAGCGGTGCTGTGTGCATGCCAAGTAATGAGATTTTGAGATTTTGGCTTCATTCAACTGGAGACCCACTCCCTGAAGAACGGTGGAGTTTTCATCTTCAGGATTAAGGAGAAGAGTGGTAGGGAAATGCTTTTTGAAATGTGCTGCCAGGGCTGTACCTGTCACGGAGAGAAGGATAAGAAACAATAATTCTCAAGTAACTTTCAGGCAAGTGTGGCTCTAGGCTGCACCAGCTGTGCATTTGCAGAGTTCCAGGGATTTTGGTTGTCACCTCTTTCTCCTGCTTCTCCCTCACCTCTGATGAAGGATAATCTGTTCATCCACCCTTGCAGCCCATGACAAAGCCTCTGTCTGCCACTTCCTTGTAGCTGATGTGAATTTTTTCCGTTGCATCCTACTGATGGCCAACATGGGAGCTAAGTGAGTGGTTGTCCATGAATCATAGAATCATGGAATCATTAAGGCTGGAAAAAGCCTCTAAGATCGAGTACAGCCCTCAACCCAGTACCACCACCATGTCTACCATTAAACCATGTCCTCAGTTGCCATATCCACATATTTATTTAATGCTTCCAGGTCTGGGGACTCCACCACTTCCCTGGGCAGCCTGTGCCAGGGCTGGACAGCCCTTTCCCTGAAGAAATTTTCCCTCATACCTATTGTAAACCTTCCCTGGCACAACTTGAAGTTGTTTCCTCTTGTCCTTTCACTTGTTACCTGGGAGGAGAGACTGACAGGGCACCTCATTGAAGATCATCAAAGCATGTGAGAATTGATGACCACGAAAAAGAACAGTATCAGAGATGGAAGAAAGCATTACAAGAATCCATGGAGGAAGAAGATGACCTTTAAACATAGTGGACTTTCATCAAAGACAATGGACTGTTGTATGAATGCGCGGGTTATAGTTTGTTACACTTTTCTATTTTGTACCCCTGTATTACTATAGAAATCCCCCGAGGTTGTTTGTTCCTTCTACCCCCATGTTCTGATTGGTTGTGTAGCTGCCACAGTGCAGATGTTCCACACAAGGCTATGCCTCTCCCTTTATCCCTTATAGAGATGTAACCCCTCCTTGTTTTTCCTGTTAAGGCGAGTTCCCTCCTTCTCTTTCCCTAAATGTCATGTTCACACTTCCAGTTCCAGAATGTTCCTTTCCTCCCCTATATAAAGGGGAAACCATGTTAATAAAGTGCTTACTTGCTTACCTATTCACTGACCTACAAACCTGTAACAAACCCTGAGTAAGCATCCCTTATTTCCCCGCTGGGCCATAGCAAAAGCAGAGGTGAAACTTGTCATCTGCTTTAACCAGAGATAAACCATGCCAAATCACTGCCATCAGCTGTCCCAGGAACCACTGCTATGGACGTTTTCCAGTGTACTTCTGGGTTTGGTGCTTAGTTTTCCTTTCTCACCATGGAGTTGGCCCTGGTTTTCCTCTGTTGGGTTCATGCGTCTGACGGCTCATGCTACAAAAGGAGTTTTATTGCACACCTGTGGAAGGACAAAGGTGTGAGACTGCTGCATTGGCAGCCTCGTGCCTGGATCCTTCCAACTGGCTGTGGGAGAGTCGTGGTGGCTTTGCCAAGCCCTGGGGAGGGCACGACACCATGACTTAGCAAGACCAGGCTGTTCCCACCCAGGATGAGTCACCGGGAACACCGGCTCCAGTATGTTGAGTGCCTGGGTGAGGTTTTGCTCAACTCCCAGCCTCTGTTTCTGCATTAACTCCCTGATAGCTAGAGAAGCTGGTGGTTCCTCTTGCCCTCCTGCCGGTCCATGTCCAGGACAACAGTGTAACTGACCAGAGGATGGACTAAGATGCACTTCACGAATCGGTGCTCTGAAAAATATAGAGTTGGAAATCATCTTGTCGTTCTTCTCCTGCTGGAAGTGTCACAAAGTTGTGGTTTGCACTAAAATGTTACATGAGATTTGGCTGAGGTTTTTTTCTCAAACCAATTGCCTTGAGCCTGGAAGGAATTAAGATGTATGTGCCTGACAGTGAAGGACAGTAATGGTGTGATGTGTTTCGGTTGGAAGTGTAGAAGTGGTATATGGCAATCATTTAGCCTCTGTTCTCATCTCCTGCTGGTGTAAACTTGAACTGAGTATCTTAAATTGAAATGTGTTTTTATGGTGTTTCCTGATGTCAAGAGAACTGCAAGGTTGTTGTAGTTGTATATAGGATTTTCTGTGCCTGCTTTCAGCTGTGATTCATGAAAGCCGGGCAGAGTCTGGGAAGATTAATTTGATCTTATTTAAAAACATACCCAATTACATTCTTACAGATTACCCAATGGCTTGGGTATTTGGGGATCTTACAGCAAATCCTGCAGTGAAAACTCTCTCCTTCCCAAAATCCACGACCAAGTTGCAGAGGTGCTGGGTTTGCAGTGTCCTGACAATACCCTGGGGAGTGAATCCCACTGCAGCAGAGCTACTTGGTCCTGGAGCCAGCAAATCTTTGCCTAGAGGGATGTAGTTCTGAAAATGAGCTCCTATTACTGTCTTGGCCCTTTCTGTGCCTTGCAGCTCAAGCACAATAAACTGATTAATTGTTGGGATGTATCTAGTGGCTACCATGCTGTGCACCCATGCTGGGAAAGGCTGGGTGTTTAATGATGACTTGTGCAGGGTTTTTTGATGTAAAGGATTGATTTTGAAAGTAGAGGAAAGCATTTGGGTGTCTGTGCTCTGTGCAAGGCTCAAAAGCTACATAAGATGATGCACCCGCCGCTTCCCCATGCGATGTCCTGTGCCCTGGAGGTACCTGGTGGTTTGCCCTGGAGGTACCTGGTGGTTTGCCCTGGAGGTACCTGGTGGTTTGCCCTGGAGGTACCTGGTGGTTTGCCCTGGCTCTGAGGACATCAGAAGCCTGGAGGTGCAGAGCTGCTCCCACTACCCAGCACCAGCCCAGGGATGGGACAGTGGCATCTGCTCCCATCGTGTCTGGAGAAGGGTTTGCATCAGCCCCTCGGTGCCAGGATAACACTTCCCACCCCTGCAAAGCATTTTCATATGTGCAGATCAAAAGTTCTGGTGTGTATTTGCTTGAATATTTTTATCCTGGAGCTGGGACACCTGTATCTTTTTGTAAGGAAACTTGTTCTGTGCTTGGAGAGTGTCAGGCTGCTTGATCCTTCTGTTAATGGGCTAGTCCTTCTAAAAAACTTTTCTGTTCTCCAGAGCTTCAGGAGCTGAACAGACTTGACTTAGTGATGTCTGCCATGGATTGTTTTTAGACTATTTATCCTCTTTTTGTTACCCCTTGGTCCTAGAAGTACCCCTGCACTTCAGATCAATGACTTAACAACTTGACAGGATTTAGAGATGAGTAGCTGCTGTGGGCCTGATGTCAGAGACATGGTTTGTATTATTGTTGTCAATGATTTAGACAGATGTTGGGAGCTGTGGGAAAATATTGATATTCATGTAATTGCTTAGGGAATCAAATTATTTCTTCTGTGCCCTAATTGTAGGGTACTAGATTTTGCAACTTCAATATTTTTAACATGTTTTGAGCATAGAGGAAGCTTTTTGGGTATGTGTTTTAAAGGCTACTTGAGCAAGATTCACAATGAATTGCTCATGTTTTATTGGGCAAAAATCTCAAATTCTTGAGTGAAGGCGTTGGAGGGAAAACTTAAATGTATGCTATTAGAAGCTGATATTCAGCCAATGCCTGTTAATAGTTTTCCAGACAGATTTCAAGCAGCAGAGGTTTGGGATTGTGGCGTGTAAGGAATGGTTTTCCCAGCACTGGGGTACTCGGTTTAGGGGTGAAGAAGGCAGCAGTGCTTCATGCAGGGGTTCATCTCCCACTGTCTCTGCAGGCCTCTGGAGATGTCCAGTGTCCTTTGTGTTTTTGGTGAGATGTGTCACAGTTGTGTGTTATTCACCGTTGCTTTTGTAAACCCAGAGAAAATCCAGCGTCCGTAACGTAGGTGGCAACAAGGTGAGGGACCAACCACATGTGAAGGTGGAAGATTGTTGCATGGTGCAAACAGTGAACAAGAAAATGGATTGACTTACAAAGGTTTGACTCCTCTGCCTCAACAGGGATGAGAAGAACCAGTCCATCATTGTGAGCGGGGAGTCGGGCGCTGGGAAGACGGTCTCTGCCAAATACGCCATGCGCTTCTTCACCACCGTCGGGGGCTCTGCCAGCAAGACTAACATCGAGGCCAAAGTCCTCGCATCGAACCCAATTATGGAGGTAAAATCTACACAATTTCCTTTGCCCTGCTTGCAGTGGTCACTGTGTGACTCCAGAAGTCACAAAACCAGTGAGAACCGTAGGGGGTTGTGAGCCAGATCTGATTTACGGCGTCACAGCATCCTTGAGCTGGATTGAAAACGCAGAAATACAGTGACAGTCTTAATTTAACCCACCCTGATTGCTCCTGTATTTGATGGTCTTAAAGCTGAGCCTGTGTAACCCCAGCACAGCTCCAGGAGCTGGGCTTTGATGGGGCTCCAGAGAGGGGAGCCTGAGCAGTGCTGCTGGCACCATTAGTATTTTGCCATCTTCCTCCTCCTTTTGTCACTGCATGGTACCTCCTAATCTTCTTTAATTGTGTAGGCGTGGTATAGAAAAGAAAGGGATTAATCTATTTGAGATACTTTAATACGGTTTTATTTTTTGTTAATTTTCTGTTGCTATCAATCACATGGGGGAAGGAAAAGTCCTATTATAGGGAAATCCCCTCTTTGAAGGAAAATAATTCCTTTTATAAATATAAATGAAAGGGAAAAAGCAGCTTTGTTTTCCTTGCACTGTGGCCAGCTGCTGAAAATAGATGTCTGGGTGCTTAAGTCCCGTTTTCCAAACAGATTTTGAAGTCAGAGTGCAAGATTTTGGAGGCATTTGTAAAATACCCAAGTCAGTATGAAGACAAGATTTGGGCTTTTCCAAAGTCAGCTGAGGACTTCAGACTCATGTGTTTTGTTTTTTTTTTAAAGGCAGGAACTAGGGAGTACAGCATTGTCCTGCACTTAACCTTAGGCTTGGCTTAACCTTCAGGGAGGCTTCCCACTGAAAGTGGTGCCTGATGGCCAAACTGTCTCACAGACATGGAGGTTGTGGCTGATCCAGGATAAAAACCAAGCCTGAGAGGCAGCACGTGTGATCTAACACTGTGCTGCCTGAAGTGGGGTGTGAGCTGGAATGTTGAAAGAAGTGATGGTGCAGGTGATCAGTAAGAAAAGCCACACAGGTGTACAGCTGGCAGGGGACACGATGCTTTTCTGCAGCTGGTTTACTCCTTTCCTCACCCATCTCCTCTGCCTCCTGCTGCAATACCAGGGGACACCTAAAACAATGCAGGGAAAAAAATTCATAGTGCATGCTATTCTTTTATATGACCCCAGAATTTTATTGCTCTAATTTTCTTGCCTGTGTTCTGTTCTGGCTGTAATTTCTAAGTGCTGGGGCCAGGCAACGTGCCTGTCTTTATTGGAAATTGATGAGAACATTGCCTATGCAGGAAAAAAACCATAAAAATAACCTGCTGGGTTTGCAGAAAAACCTGAAGTTAAATGGGCTTGGGGGGAAGAATGTGCCTTAGCTAGAAGAGGAGTTGTGTGGGTGGATGGATAGGGCAGGTAGCAGGCAGGGCTTGCTCTGGGTGTGATGCTGAGGCCATCAGGCCATGGAACCCTCAGCCCTGGATGGAAGGGTGGAGCAGCTGAGGGGTCAGACAGCTTTGCATGTGCAACAGTCTCTTTGTTGGTTGTACTGCACAGAGTACAATCCCTGGGGATTTCCATCACGTGCAACTGGAGGCGTCAGGTCCTGTGATCAAAAGTTTTGGGTGGTGCTGTAGGTAGTGCTGTGATTCTTGGTGAGTGTGCATGCTTGCTGTGTTCCCCAGGAGCTGCATGCAGGTAAAGGTGATCGGCAAGGATTGCCTGGGAAAGGCAGACAGCCTTCTAGAGGGTCCTGAGGGATCTTCCCTGTACGTGTCCCTTCCTTTCCATTGCTTTTTCTGTGCTTGCTTGAAGCTCATCATCTCAGGACAGGGGGATGTTGGTAAAAAGTAAGCTGCTGTATCCATGAAGGGGAACGTTGCCTTTCTCTGGCCCTCTTGCCATCACCATGAGTCGCTCCTTCATGGATTTCCCTGTTTGCAGTGCTGCACCCCTGATGTTTGTACTTTGGGCTGGATTCTCTCCTCTCCCTTCTGCCCCAGTGTGTGGCAGCATTACCTGGAGCACTGGAGAGGCACAGGGAGACTCTGTCATGTCATCAAATCCATGTGCCAGAGCCTGAACATCTGAAAATGGACTGCATCTTGTTCCCTCCCTCTTGAAGGGCTTCATTGCTTATGACTCCTCCAGGAAAGCTGCCAGTGTTGACTATGGGCAAAGGTGGGGGCATCCTGTAAAACAAAACAGGAGTGTTAAGGCTGTTGGGATGTAGGTGATTTAATTACTGTACAGACACTCATTTCTGTTCATATGCATTTTTCTTCTATAAAAATCCTGGAGACACCACATTTTCAGTGAAGAGTCCTCCCCAAAGTCACGTTCTTGCTCTGCCTTCTGCATCTGGGAAGGGGTTTTCCTTAAATCCCCCTGTGACTGTTTATATAACACTGATTACAAATTTAAATGCTTAAAACATTTCAAAAATTAAATTAAAAATTAATGTTTGATTTACTTTTATGCAGGCCATTGGAAATGCTAGAACAACAAGGAATGACAACAGCAGTCGATTTGGGAAATACATTGAGATTGGTTTTGATAAAAGATACCACATCATTGGTGCCAACATGAGGACATATCTGTTGGAAAAATCTCGGGTTGTATTTCAGGTGAGCAGCTGCAGGGTTTTTTCCTTCTTTTTTCCTTTTGGGCGCTGTACTCTGGGAATTCAATGCTCTGGGACTTTTCTATGAATTAAAAAGAATCTCTTCAAAAAGTAGAATCACAGAATCATTTAGGTTGGAGAAGACCCCTAAGATCATTGAGTCCAACTGTACCCCAGCACTGCCAAGGCCACCACTGACCCATGTCCCCAGGTGCCACATCCACATGGCTTTTAAATCCCTCCAGGGATGGGGACTCCAACACTGCCCTAGGAAGCTATGCCAGGGCTGGACAACCTCTTTGGTGAAAATACCATTCCTAGTATCCAATCTAAATCTTCCTTGCACAACCTGAGGTCGTTTCCTTTCATCCATCGCTTTCCTGGTAGACACAGCTCCCAGACGTGTCTTTCAGACTCAATCTTTTGCAGTTGTTCTTCATGATCCCAACATGATAACCCTCATTCTGGGATAATTTGTACTTGGGAGACTCATTAGTTGGCCTTGAGTTGTTCCCTCTATGAGCCTGAGGCTGGAGCCTGGAGGAGGGATCACTGCTGCTGGCGTGGCTGCTGGGCAGGGATGGAAAACTTTTCTCTGGGCAAGTGCTTTGTTTTTGCTGAGCCTTTTAAAGAGCTAGGGAGCGCAAATTGCAGGCAACTGTCTTCAGTTTTGAAGATGGAGGGGAGGCAGGAGAAGGGCTGAGGAGGCTGATGTCTCTGCTGCAACACATCCCTTGGGTTTTTTGCACATGGCTGAGGACAAGCTTTCTTGGTTTGTGCTCAGAAGCAACTGCAAAACTTTTTTTCTTAAACACAAAAAAAAAAAGAAAAAAGAAAAGCATCAAATACAAAAATCCTAAAAAATTTACAACTTTGGGAAGCCATGAGAATAGGCCACCTTTTTTTTTATATTGCTATTGGTTTGCACCACAGTGCTTGCTGGCTAATGGAGCTGGGTTATCCCAGAGAGGGATAAGATGTGGAAGGTAATACAGAGCTATTTGTTTTCTTTGCAGGAGGGGCAATGTGTGTTGGTCAGGGCAAGCCTTGGCACCTCCTTTCTCTCTGGTGGCAAGAAAATGTCCCTGTCCTGGTGGCACTGAGGGGGTGCCAAGAGTGGGAAGCAGGGAGTGGGATCAGTGTAGCCCTGGGCTCAGTGAGCACCAGGCTGAGGGTGGAAGCACCACTGTAACCTCTTTGTGCCTCTGGTAACTCAGAACTTTCCCCACAGGCAGAGCATGAGCGCAACTACCACATCTTCTATCAGCTCTGTGCCTCCTCAAGCCTTCCGGAATTCAAAGATCTCGGACTCAGTAAGTACTGGAACCTCCCTGTGCACTGGCACTAGATCTGATGGCAACAGGACAACGTGGTGAGGTCAGAAATTCAGGTCGTTGGTGAGGTCACATGTGCCTGTTCAGTGGGAAGAGGTGAAGGGAGATGAGCTTGAAGGGCTTCTTCTCCCCGGTGGTGCACAGGTTTGCTTGTGCCATCACCAGGGTTGTGGCACCCAGGATGAGGGTGGGGAGGCCCTGGCACAGGTTGCCCAGAGAAGCTGTGGCTGCCCCTGGATCCCTGGATGTGTCCAAGGCCAGGGTGGACAAGGCTTGGAGCAACCTGGGATAGTGGAAAGTGTCCTGACTGTGGCAGCGGTTGGAACAGGATGATCTTTAAGGTCCCTTCCAACTCAAACCATTCCAGGATTTTATAAAAATTTACAGCAGAGCTGCAGTGAAACTATGTGCCCTGGTAGATGCCAGCTGATGCAGGGAGATCATGTGTTAATATTGTACCAAGGTTGCATAAAGATGTGAGTAGGGGTTGATCTGGCCAAAGCCTTGGCAGGAGCGGTTGTGTGCTTTGAATTCATTGTTATTTTTCTCAATGGTTAACTCCTGAAATGGGTTAGAGTTCTTTTCCCAGAATTTGCGGCGAAACCTCTGTAGAACACCTGATTCAGAGGGTTTGCACTTGCAGCAGGGGGTGCAGAAATGTACTTTAGTTATTCTTTTATCTTGGATATTTGCTATTGCTTAGAAAAAGTAGCAAGGCTTAAAATAGGCTTTTTCAGTATTTAAAATAGTGAGCAAGGCAGGCTGTGATCCCAACACAAAGGCTTGCAGAGGTTTTCATCCTGGCTACAGAGGAATGGCAGATCCAAGAGAGAGTTTTCAGTTTCTGGGTAATTCTGGGCTTGTCTTTCTGACTTTTTGTGTCACTGTAGGCATATTGCCCACACGGAGCACATCACTTTGAGCACTTTCAAGAGTTGCTGCCATGTGGTTATTTGCTTCATTTTTGCAAAGATACCCTGAGTAATGGCTGTGTCTGCTGGCATCTTAAAATTCAGACACAAATGCTTTCAGCTCAGACTGGGATATGAGCTGATGTGTGAGAGCTCCAGCTGTGCAACCACCCCTCTCATCCTGGGAACATGTGCATCAGAGGAAACACCAGTCTTACCCATCACAGCTCTCTAAAAGCATCATCTCTATTGGTGGTGACTGGTAACAGTGTAGGCTGAGAGGTCTCTGCTCTGCTGGTGGATCATCCAAGATGCAAAAACATCTTTGTGCTGTTGTGACTGTGGCTCTCAACTTCTCAATCCAATAGCAACAGCTGGTGGTGTAGGAGGCAGTGGGTGCCAGGGCAGCTAGCCCCCAAGGGAACTTTCTTGGGTCATTTTTAATCAAAATTTGGTGTTGTCAATGCACATCAGTCTCCAGCTGCACTTTTCAGTGGTGCTTGTGCACAGGTATCCACCAGGTCAAACGCAAAACTGGAGAAGGAGGTGATTCTTTCCGAAGTTGAAGGTGTGTGTCCTTGGTGTTTCCTCCACTATCACCTTGCAATAGCTTAAAAATGACTCTTCAAAATGTTTTGGTAGCCGGCAGATGTGGGGCTGCTCACACAGTCTGTGGGGACAGACATGTGGGTGCCGTGAGCTGCTCTGGTTGGCCCGATGGAGGCTCTGCCTTGACCTGTGGAATAGCTAGTGCTGGGCAGTGTTCTGTGAGTGCAGATGTGCACAATTCACTTATTTTTCTTTCTCTTGAGTGATTTTTTTTTTTAATTTCCAACTTTGCCTCAGGTTTACTAGCCTGTATTTGAAGATGACTAGTCGAAACTCAAATTTGTTTCCTTGTGTGAGGTGTACTTACCTTACGTGTCAGCCTTTTCTCCCCAGGACTTATACAAAACGAGGGCTATCTTGCTGCGAAAATCCACCATTTATTAGACATGGAGGAGGATGTATATTTTTCCATATAAAAATTAAGAACTTTTGCTTCTCCTTTGGCCCTTGCACGTACAAAGAGTTGTCCTTACTCTCTTGTATGTTGCAAAATGCTCAAAAACAGAGAGAGTCTCTAAACACAGGTGAGCCCAGCAGAGCAAACCAGTGTTGCTCAGTCAGAGTGATCCTAAAGGCTTAATCTGAAACTAGAAGGTAAATATTTGATTTAAAATGTCAGTGTGCAGTGCAAGTGTCTTTTGAGGTGTGGTGTCTAATTTTATGATGCCTCGGCAGTGGTGGAAAGCAGGAATGTGTTTTAGTTGTTTGCAGTGAATCAAAGGGTTTATGTGGTTGTTAAAATATTTATACATATATTGAAATGTAAAGATTGGAGTCAGTTATACCAGAGGTGACTTGAGGCAGAAACAGATCTCAGTGTGGATGTTTAAAATTGGAAGCTGGTGTTGCGGTCCCATCAACCACCACCAGCCCTGGGTGCATCTTGCAAGGTGCAAGATGTGCAGAAACAGCAAGTTGTTAATGTGATGTGCTCCATCAGGGGCTGGGTGAGCTCCTGTTGTGCTGGGGGACCAGGATGGACATAGTCTGCCTGACCCCAATCAGCGTTTTCTGCCCCTTATTCCTGATGCTCCATCAATGAGAATTACCAAAACCTCTGTGTCCCTGGGCTTTCTGTGTCAAAAAGACTTAAATGTTTTCTTTACAGCTTGAAAGTACAGCTAATGCAAAAGCCTACGGGAGGGCAGGGAAGGGATGGGGAGCTTCTGGTGGCAATTTGAGTCAAAAATTGCAGATTGCAGTGGTTTTAAAGGTTACCAGTAGGCTGATGTGGAACACACAGTAGGCTTTTTCTCTTTACATTCATGATGCTTGGGAAATATGTTTTAAGGTGGAGTGATTGCATGTGCAGCTTTTTAAAGTGGATATAAGCCCTGCGATCTCTTTTTGTTGTATTTGCATTTGAAATGCCTCTCTGTCTCCTCACGATTTATTGGTGTTGTCCTGAAATAACTTTGGTAAAGCACAGATGTTTACATGGTGTAATGCTGGCACTGGAAGCCATTCTCCACTCCCTCTGCTCCCAAGGTTTAAGGCTTTATGTGGGAAAGGTGTTAAAGGATCTCAGTCAGTCATGGGTGTGTTAAACAGGATGAAAAATTATCGAAAGCAGTAACCTCAGTATCTGAAATAATCTTCACCCCTGTGATGGAGCGGTTATTAAAATACCAAATATACCATAGCACTGGCCTGACTGAGCTTGCTTTGAATGGGGAAGAGGTTTCATCACTGCAAGAAGTAGTTACAGTCACTTATCAAGGTTCTACTTCATCCATTTCTGATTAACTGGGGTTTGAAGGGGACAGGTGCCCTTTGGGGAGCATCCCAGTCCATGTTCCAGGGGGTGGCTGCGGGGGATGAGTACTGTTTGGTGATGTATTGCTCCTCTTCCTTCTTTCCTAGCCTGTGCAGAAGACTTTTTCTACATTTCTCAAGGAGGTGACACGTCCATCAGTGGTGTGGATGATGCTGATGACTTTGAGAAAACGAGGCATGCCTTCACCCTGCTTGGTAAGGGTTTGCTCTGCTTGGAGCCTGCCCAGCAGAAGTCTCTTGCAATTGTTTTCAGTGTTTTGCCTGAATTATAATGTTCCTGTTGACCTAGTTGGCTTTACTTTGTTCTTCAGTATGAGCTGCAGAAGTGTTTCTTACAGCAGCCTGCAAAGCAGCAGTGAAATGGAGGAGGACATGGAATTTAAGAGCAACTTAAATAAACCATTCTGAAGGCAAAGCTGTGCTGCAGCTATTTTTTACACTTGTTTACAAGCAGGAAAAGAGCAATTACTCTGCAGTTCAATCTGTGCTGGGGCTGAGGGTGATGTCACTTCTCGGACCGTCACAGTATTGTACCAAGTAGCTGATTTCCTGGAAATAATGAGCTGAGTACATCCCTGCTGTGCAGAGTCCATGTCTGTGTGGCAGCTGCAAAATCCGTGGCATGCTGCAGTGGAGCAGTGCTGCAGCCTGCCTGCAGCAGTGGCTATTGGAAAGGAAAAACAATTTTTGCTGGGGAAAACTTCCCTGGTTTATTAATATTTATCTGAAACCATGTTTTTAAATCCTGTTCAGTCTCGGTGCCTCTCAGATGCATTTCATATATTGTGAGAGGAGTTCATGATGTTCACAGTTGGCTGTGAAATCCCCTGACCAGCTGTGCCAACAATGAGCATGGACACTCATTTCAAGTGTTGGAACTGCACGTGTTTCCCAAAAATTTACCCTATTTGTGTTCAGATAGGCTCAATCTCTTTTTCTTTGGGGCGATAGTGGGGTCTTGTCATTACCCTCTTCTTGTACAGCTTGTGTGAGTTCTAACTGTTAACTACTCAAAAAATAAGGCTTCTGTTTGCTCCAGATTTGCCCACAGGACTGTAATCCCCAGGAAACTCTCTTCCCATCCCCTTGGCATGTCTCTTTGTTCCCCTTCTCCACCTCCTCAAGCAACCCCCCTGTCTCCTTGCTGATCCCTGGGAAGAACTGTGAGAGCATCTTCCTCTGCTGCCAGTTTGATGATGTTTTCCTTCTCTTCACATGCTTCCTCTGGCTCTGCCTTTCCTCATTTTTTCTTCAGTGTTTCTCAGCTCTGTTTCTGTTCAGGGCCTGGTGATACTGCTACTACACTTTTCAGCCTTTCCTTTCTGTGTGTAACTAGAAGAAGTCAGATTTATCTGCAAATCCCCACCCTAGCCAGGCTTAACTCCAATTAAGAGTTCCAAGTCACAGCAGAGCCTTGCTCCTTTTAGTAACCTTGAAACCTTTCTCACTGTGCTGATAACAGAAAAGTCCCAAGAGAGAGAAAGGGAAGCTCTGGGTAATTCAGAAACCAGCAGGTGATGTCTTGGACCTTGGGTGGATAATTAGGACACCAGCCCTGAACACAAAAGGGACGCAGAAACCCAGCTGGAATGGAAAAAGAATGCAGGATACGGCAAGCAGGCCGTGTTCAGGCTGCTGCTGAGCAAAGCTCCTGCTGGGAATGCCTGTAAATCCTGCCAGAAAAAAATATATAAAGCAATAACATCTTACACCCCCAATAAAGACTCACCAACACGTAGCTCTTTTTGAGGCACTGGGGACAGTGAGACAGAGTTCTGCATCACCTCCCTGGTGCTTTGCTGTATCCAGCTGTAGCACCAGTGTGGAGGCGTTTGTGCATCATGTGCAGGCCTTTAATTTTCTCTTCTGTTTGTGGGACACTGGCAATATGTTGTAATTTCTGTGCTTCAGTTGTCAGCCGACTACGATCACACAAAACAACCCCTTGTTCTGTAAAAGCCACAAGAGCTCTTACAGCTCTGACCCTGTTTGATCATAATGGAGCAGCATCCTTGGTTTTGTGTGTGTTAAACACGTCTGTGTTAAAATTGAGTGTTTACAGTGTGTTGATTGGAAGAAGTCTCATAATTCTGAAAACCAGCAGCCTGGGAAGGAAATCAAACACCTTGACCGTCTTCAAATAAACTGAAAATTGCTGTTTGTTTTCTGGTGTGACAATCAGCTATCAATTGTTCACGCAGGAGTGAAGGAGTCTCATCAGATGACCATTTTTAGGATAATTGCGGCCATTCTGCACCTTGGGAACTTGGAAATCCAAGTGGAACGAGGAAGTGAAGCCTGTAGTCTGTCGGTAGGTCACCAGCTGGAGTGGGGCATGTGGGGAGTTTGCTATGCTCATAAATCAGGACATGTTGGATGTGTTGAGCTTCACAGCAGCATGCTTTAGTAGAAAGCCCTTTTCCTCCTGATTTTCTTTGTCTTTTTTTTTTGGAAACACATTATAATTTCCTAGTCGCTTTGTTTTTTCCTTGGAGACAGTGAATTGCTCCTCCTCTCTGGCCAGCCTGTAGGCAAGATAAATCAAAGATTATCATCTTACATCCCAACACATCTTTAACTCTTCCTGCTTCCTTAGAACACCTAGTGCACAGTGTTGGGGAACGGTGACTCCACCAGCAGAAGGTGTGATGCTCTAAAACCACTTTCCTGCAGGCAAAGCCATGGAGCTGCTGCTTGTGATGCAGCCAATCTAGCATCCAAAGGAGCACTGCACAGTAAATTAGCAAGAATAAATAATACAAAACATGCCTTAGCGGCAATTTTTCTGTTTCTGTTTGTTCAGAGGTAGGGGGGGAAAAAAAGGCAATTATTTGGAAAATACTGTCCTGTAAATTATCATTGCATCTCAGGCTGGGTAGTTTGTTCCTAGTAAAAGTATTAAAATGGGTTCTGCACACAGTTTTAGCGTCACCCTTGAGATACCTTGGTGTTCGATGCATTAGGTGGTGGAGTAATTTACTTGATATTTGGCAACATGGATATGTTGAAAGAGGTCTGCTTTGACAATGTTGAGTTCTGCTAATGAAGTTCGTATTGTTTAATTACCTTCAGATGTAACTGCAAGGTATTAAATCAGTTCTGTTATGCCTTTGAATCTGTAGTCAAAAGGGTATGATAGCAATAAAGCATTCTAGAATTCTCGTAAAGTGCACTTTTATTCTCCATCCCCAAACCCATTCAGCATTTGTACGTGCACATATCTAACTGGAAACAATTTACTGCCTTTACATATATATTATTACGTGGAAAAAAAGGAAACTGTTTTCTCCTTGTCCAAAAGGCAGTGCCCACTATCTTAGCACAACAGGGACTCAGAACTGCCTTGCCTTAGTTTGATGGGGCGGGGGGGAATACATTGCACTGGGGAAAATGAAGTTCACATCTAATTTTGTTAATTGTTCAAAGCCCAGGCCCTTCTTGTAACGCACAATTTATAACTTTGTTATTCAAAATGGAGTTAGTTTGTAAAAGGTGTCATGGCAAAGCTTAAGCTTAGTTTAAGAGCTTAATCCAGGTTGCTCTGAAGGAGTGTGTGGTTGCAGCTCAAGGAGTAGTAAAGTGGAGGTTGCTCTGTCCTCTGGAAATCTGCTCTTAGTGAAAACTGAGACCTCAAGGATAACCAGAGCAGAGCCGAGCTGTGGTGCCACTGTTTGGAGCTCTGTGTGAGCTGTTCCACTCATGTCCATGAAGACTGGCACAACTGGATGAGTGTCATTGCTTCTCCATTCCTGCCAACCACAGAGGGACACAGTCTCTCCCTAGATAGTTATGGAACACCGCTAATTCCTTGCAAAGGTCTTGGGGGTTAAAGGTCCAGTTTGGGGTGTCACCAGCCTGCTGACTTTGCTTCTCACCCCCCTCTCCCAGAGCGAGGACGAGCACTTGAAGAACTTCTGTGGCTTGCTGGGCGTGGAGCTCAGCCAGATGCAGCACTGGCTTTGCAACCGCAAGCTCGTCACCACGGCTGAGACCTACGTCAAGAACATGTCCCTGCACCAGGTGGTGAACGCCAGGAACGCCCTGGCCAAGCACATCTACGCCCAGCTCTTCAACTGGATCGTGCAGCACATCAACAAGGCCCTGCACACCACTGTCAAGCAGCACTCCTTCATCGGCGTGCTCGATATCTATGGGTAGGCACGGTTTCTGCTTTTCAGGGCAGTTTAATTTGCCCTTGTTTTGCCCTTTGTAATTTGTCTCGCCCTTTGTAATTTGCCTTGCACATCATAATTTACCTTGCACATCATAATTTGCTTTGCCCTTCTTGCAAGGTACTCTTGGCCTCGGCTTATGCAGGTGATGGGAATGATAGGAAAGAAGCACAAAAAAGCACCATCATGTGTAGTTTGCAGTTTGGATCCTCCTTTGGATTGTCCAATCTGACCCCAAAACCGTTCTGTTTGAGTGCTGGCTTTTGGGATTTACATCCTGTGCTGTTCTCATTTGGGATTTCTGTCTCGTGTGCATTGAGCTCAGGGTGAGCTCATGGTAAAGGTGCCAGTGTGGAGACCAAAGACTGCACTTGGCTCTGCCTGAGGTTGCTCTGAGATTTGAGGAAAGTACTTTGCTTCTTCAGCTGTGAACCGCTGTCGCAGGGCCCTTGTGCCAGTGAGAGCTTTTGGAGGAGTTTGTGAACCTGTGGCATAAGGGCCATAAGGTGCAAAAAGCTCTTACAAGGCTTGCAGCCTCAGGGGCAATGAGCTTCTTCAGATTTGGGCTGGGTACCAGTCACTGCTTGGTCTGTCATCCCGGCACTTGAGTGCTGGTAGATGAGGGATGTGAGAGTTGTTTGCGAAGAGTTCATTTTAGCTGAAGTGCTGCAAAGTAGGAGAAGGTGGAGGAGAAAAAAGGGATTCTGTCATTTATGGGGTGGAAAAGGAAAGAGATCTTGTGGGTTTGGATTTTACCCTTCACTCTTTCAACACTGTCCTTTTTCTGTCTCTCTGGGGAGCAAGGACAAGGGGAGAAGTCCGAGGTTTCCCAGAGAGGTGGTGTCCAAGGCCGGGTTGGAGGGGGCTTGGAGCAACCTGGGATAGGGGAAGGTGTCCCTGCCTATGGCAGGGGGGCTGGACTAGATGACCTTCAAAGAACCCTTTCAACCCAAATCATTTGATGGTTCCGTGGTTCTAAATGGGACAGCAGTGGCCTGCTGTGTTGCCTTAATATATTAAAATGCTGAGCTGTTCCTGTTTTGGAGGGGGAGGTGGAATGCATAAGTTGTAGCTGCTCCAGGAACCAGTCCCTAAGCCAGTGCAGTCGCTGTGCTTGCTCAGTCCCAAATCTCCTCTCATACCAGGCTCCTCGCAAGGTCTGTCAGATCTAAATGAACCTGGAGTTCAGAATGAAACCCTGCCAAAGCAGTGCTGGGTCAGAACAAAAAACCAGAAAGCTTTTATGGCTGTAATGCCTATACAATTGCCTGAGTTGGATCTTGTGTATAAACCCTCCCATGAGGTTTCTACAGCTACTGGTGTTTGGGATGTTGATTTTCACATCTGCTGGACAAACACAGCAGCAGAAAGGAAGCTAGAAAGTGCTGGAGCATCAGTTCAGCCCACTCTGCTCATCTCCATCAGCAAATGCTGCCATATGGCAAGGCTTACAGGAACACTTCTATCAAGAATGATAAGAATACTGTTCTGTTTGTTTGGGGATTTCAGTGGGATAGCTTGAGATGGTGAGGTGGCTCTTACAGGTTTGCAGGTTTCTGGGCTCTCCTCAGTAGGTAGCACAGGACCTGGAAGATCTTAAATAACTAAGTGGGAATGGCACAGTCTTATTCGAAGACTGTATGAGGTAGAGAAGCTGTTTCCCATAAGTGTCTCCACAGATGAAAATTTCTGCAGGCTGGGATGTGATAAATAAAGCTCTGACATGGAGCCGTGTGGGCGGTAGTGGGTCAATACAGAAAATTGGATGCCTGAGTTAGGAAATCAGGATTTCAGAAATCTGAATGAAAAGAGACTTGAGGATAATGCTCATGAAAGATTAAGCTGGGCTTGAAAACCTGTTAGTGTGGAAGAAAAGCCTCCTTTAGCTGCAGGTCTGTGCATCACATCCAGCGCGTGGGCAAACTGATGCTTTTACGGCACTGCTGTCACCATGGGGTGCAGCAGGGTTTTTTCCCACAAGGATCTATGGGTCCTGTTGAAAGAGGCAGATTTGCAGGGGAAGGATGTCTGTGTTCTGCCTGTAGTGCTTGTGAGAATCTGGTGTCCTAAAAATCCCTTTTGGAAATGGGTGTTTCTGTCTAAATGCTGAGTGATTAACAATGCAGGGAATTTGGGTAATGATAACCTGACTCTGCAGTCCTTAAAAGCGGTTTGGTTCCCCAAACTTGGGTTTTTAGGGAGTTTTAATGCATTTTGCCAAATATTAGAAGTATTTTTCCAAATGTCTGTTGTTTTTTCTTTTCCTCTGGGAGAGGGATTGAGCTCTGAGAGAAAATGCAGAGGCTGTAGGATTTGTCTCCTAATTTTCTAATGCTCGACTTTGCACCCCTAATTCTCTATTAACATTGAGGTGACAGGGTGCAGCATTGAAAGCCCTCCTGTATTTATTGAAAGCCATAGCAGCAGTACTGCAGTCTGTCTGAGGAGTGGGTTCACGTGGCATTCCTGGACTTGGCGGGGATGGCTTGTTTTTGCCATGTGAAGGGAAGTGTGAACACCCAGGTGGCCAGCTGTATGCTGGACTTATTTATGAACTTTAAATATTTTAGTATACACCCTGGTGCTACAGCGGATTTAGGAGATACAAGTCACACGGCAGAATGGGGAGCAGTAGCAAAACCAAAATATAGTGTTTGCCCCCTGAAGTCTACTGCCTCCAAGCTGAACGTGCCTCCTGGGGAGTCACAGGGATGGGCTGGAGCGGTGAATATGCTTATTTTTTGCATCAAGATCTAGTGCACTAAAATGAATAGAAACCAAACAGGCTCTGGTTTGCTTTTCCTATTAGGATGTTGCCTTGGTGCAGTCACTCTGAGCAGGTGGAACCTCCTGGCCAGCACACATGTAGAGCTGGTGACTGATCTGCTCTGTCAATCAGAAAATTGAGCTGGTAGGGTCCCTTAATAAGCAATTTAGTGAGATCTCCCTTGGAGCTGATGTTGTACAGCTGCTCTGCCCCTGGCTGGCACTCACTGAGAAGGTTCATAAACCTCATCTGGTGTCTCTGAATTGGATATAAAGTTTCTACTCCGATTTCTTTTCCTCTTGCAGTCCCGCTCTTGTGTTTTTCTACCCAGCTCATCATCCCTCTTCATCTGTGTTTTAATTCAATCTTTTCTTGCCCTGTTGCTGTGATCATGAACCTGCAGGAGTTGTGTTTCCAAGGAATCTTGGGCAAGTCACATCCCTTTAGCTGCAAGAGCTGAAGGTACCGACCTGCTCGGCACGATGGCTGTGCAACCAAGATCAAACACAGTGGGAGCTCTTCAAGGACATGCTCATCACTGAGGCTCAGGCCACGTGTTTAATATAAATATTTGTTGTCCCAGAGACCAGATTTCATTGTGTTAAAGACTGTGAGGGAAAGGATTGAGCATTCTCTGCTTGGCGCAGGCTGCACCAACTCCGGGGGCAATGCCAGCCCTGGACAGGCAGAGGGGAAGCAGTCCGAGGTTTCCTCAAGGGCTGTGGGACTGATAAAAGCACAAAAGCAGCTTGTTTCTCCCATTCTCGTTTCTCTTTTGCCTTTTTGTGTTGTATTTCCCCAAGGTCTCAAGCATTTTATGTGGTGAGGGCACCTGGTAATACCTGGGGAATAACTGCATGACCTGGGTAACGTGCAGATAGTCCTCAGAAAGCAGCAGAAATACTGATTATTCTGGGGAGGGGTGATGGGAAAAAAAAGGGCTTCGTTTATTTAGTGCTTTAAGATTGTTCTGCCGGCTCCTACAGTGCCTATTACCCGAACAATTATTTAGCCACGTATTTATCCTTACAGCAGCTTACTCATTAAACACAGGGAGCCTTCCCACTTCTCCCCTTCTTTTAATCCTTACAGTCTGGTGTCAAAGATTTCCTTCCCTCCTCCCCCTTCCAACTGTGCCTTAAAAATAGAAATAAATAAAAAACAATTCCCTGTGTAGCTGAAAAGGTCTTCTTTGTTTTTTTTAAGAGCAGGCCTGGCTCCCTGTGCCTGTCCCTGGATGTCACGTGCTTCAGCCCCGGGGGCTCTGCTGGCTCTCTGCTGCTTACCTGTAGTTCACATTACTAAAACTGCATATTTTTTTCCCTTCTAATTGTGACTAGGAAGCCAGTTTTGAGCTTGGTTTGGAGTCAGTATGTGGAAAGGTGGGATAATGATTTGGTGAGCGGAGTTTTGGAAGCTGGTGAAGAGAGGGACCAGTGAGTCCAGCTCCAAACTTCCTCTAAGGAACATGGAATTGGAGCTGAAATCATCATTTTTCCCCTCTGCCTTCCAGAAGTTGCTTGCTCACGTGTGTGCAGGTTTTGTGCTAACAGGGACGCAGTACAGAAGCTATAATTACAAATTCAGTTCCTTCTTTTTCTGCTCTCTTGAATTCCATTAAAAATAGCTCCTTGGGTCTTTTAGGACAGCGGCTCCTGTTTCTTCATCGCCTTTGCAGTGAATATATTTGGACTTAATATTTCATAATATTTTTCCCCAAGAGAGGCTGTTACATTTCTTGTCTCAGACAGCGCTTCTGCCTGATGGGCAGGAAGCTGCAGTTGTGCCAAGTGTCTCATTCGTGCATAGCAGGAGAGACCTCTTGAATCCCTTGAGTTGTGCCGAGGAGAGAGAGATGTTTTGAGGAATAAAGTGTAGATCTGGGATAGAAGGCATGCAAGGAGACAGCTGAATACCTGCCGTTCCCCATCACACAGATGACACCGTTGGGGGGGGAGGGGGAAAGTAGATTTTGAGACAAAGCAACATTTAATGCTGATTTATTCATTGCTTTGCAGGTTTGAAACGTTTGAAGTGAATAGCTTTGAACAGTTCTGTATCAACTACGCCAACGAAAAGCTCCAGCAGCAGTTCAACTTGGTAAGGTCAGCTTGGAAATGTTCCACAGAACTTAGCAGAAAATGTAACAAGGCAAGATTGTTGTATGTCTGGCTTCTGTTTAATGGCATTCACCTGCAGTGTGGACAGATCGTGTGGTCAGTATGAATGCAGTCCCTGGGACACCTCTCTCCCAAGCATTGCACTGAAATGGCACTTAATATTCCCATCAGGCTGAAAAATGTTGCTCTGTTGATGTATAAGCTTGATACTGGAAATAGGTTTTATGTTTTATGCAAAGGTTCACTAGGGTTTTGAGTAAGCATATAATTTGCCTTTTTCTTGGTGTAGTTTCAGTCCTAAAGCAAAATCTGGATCGTCTTGTGCCAGGTCCTGATTTCCAGTGTAAGTTAAAGTATGGGTGTGGAAACCTGCCCATTAAGTGTGGCTTAAATCTGTGAAATGAAAACTCTGTATTAAATAGCAGGATTGGACACACTCCCCGCTTTTCACTTGGACATGCCTCACAAAACCCGGAGATTTTCCTATTTTATTAGAAACAAGTGCTTGCCTGCACTGGAAATGAAACCAGTAAGGGGGTTGTCTTCTGCTTTGATTGTAAGCAGGGGAGAAATTACTATCAGTTTCAGGATGCAAGGGAAAACTTGTTAAATTTGAGCAGCTAAGTACTGCAGATTAGTTTGGCCCTTTGAAACCATATCATATGCATGGCCATGAACATTTGCAGTCTATCTAAGGCATCAGATAGATCACTGCTGCTAAAAATGAAAAGTAAATTATGGATTGTATTTGCACTATTCATATCTTACTTGGTATGTCTAACTATCACTTCTGAAGCTTATAAATCCAAACTCTGAGATGACATGTTTGAAGAGATTTTAAAGAGCTATCTTTGAGGGAAAAAAGTGCATTTGAAAAATCATTTTTAATATGCTTTAGAGTATCTCAGAAATAGCCAGAGACAATTTATCTGCTTGGGCAGAGTTCTGAGATACGTAAGCCACACAGAGGCTTTTTTTTTTTTGTTATCCGTTTTTTTGAATAAGAGGCTGCAATAGAAGTGTCCCTGATTTGGTCAGATGCTGCTGCTGATATCCCTTCTAGGATGATGGGTGCTCTTTTGTGAAGCAGATGGGGGGATGCACTCTTAGCCCTGGCTGAGCTCCTGCTGCAGGTCGTTGCTTTAATCATCAGAGCAATGAAGGAGAGGGGGATTTTTGTCAGCCCAAGAGATATATGTGTCATTGCCACTTCAATATATGGCTTCCACCTCAATGTAGTGACAGCTTCAGTCATTTTCTAGTGAAAGTCATTTAAAGCCTTATTTTCCCCTGCCCCGTGGCAGGGAGTGGTTTCCGAGTGTAATGCTTTTATTTTCCTTGCCAGAAGCTAAATTGTGTAGATGGCAGAGCCTGCATAGGCTGAATGTGAGGGCACCTAAAGCCTCTATGGCTTCTGGATGTTCTCGTGGAATACTGCACTCCAGAGGGGACAGGGGGGTGGATGTGGAAGGGGCTGGCTGGGGTCACGGCCAGTAACTCCGCTGTTCTTCCACTCTCAGCACGTGTTTAAACTGGAACAAGAAGAGTACATGAAGGAGGGAATCCCTTGGACTCTCATAGATTTCTATGATAACCAGCCCTGCATAGACCTTATAGAGGCCAAACTTGGGATCCTGGACCTGCTGGATGAAGAGTGCAAGGTAAAAAGTGTTTTTCTAAAAGGTTAAATAATAGGCTTTAACCTGAGGCATCTTGCAAGAGGGTAAAAACCTCCTTCATGTGTGTTGCTGGGGTGCCTGTGGCAAGGGTAGGCTGTTGGCATTTGCTTTGCTTTAGAACACTCCAGAGCCTCCTTGGCAAGTGTTTGCTACCAGCCTGGTGCCTGATCTCACCATGTGCTGCCAGTGCTGATGTTTCTGGCCTGGCTGTAGTTAGGAATAGCCATTGCTCCAAACTTGATTGCTTTGGTGTTATCCAGGAGCTGGAGTTCCTCCTTGTCTCAAGCCTTATTTTGTCTCAAGGGAAATCTGAGTCCTCTTGCAGTAGCTATTTGGGGTGAAGCTGATTGCATTCAGTGCACAGACTTCAGAGACTTGCAGTGTTGGAGAGCAGTTTGCTCTCTTTTGCACTCTCTCTGTCTTTGTCTCTCATACTGGCCAAAACTAAATCTTGTTTAAAAGTTAAGAAAGGCCAGAATGGCAAACCTTCATGAGAATCCATAAGAAAGGTTGGACTTCTTATTCACTCCTTGTTCAGTCATGAATTACCAAATATACCTAGGAACAAGAAGGGTCAGATGGGAGATTTTCTTGAGAAGCTGGGATGCCTGTTTTGAAGGTCTTTTTTTTTGGAAGGGGATAGGAACAGCCTTCCTGATGGATGTACCTGCCCTGAGGAGCCTCAGACTGGTTTTGCTATGGTGTGATCCAGCAAGTTGTCCTTTGGGAGGAATTTCCATTGAGACTTGGATATATTCTGTGACTGGAAATGTCGTACTGGTTGTGGAAGATCTTTGAGCATTTTTGAACAAAGGCAGGGAGGGATGAGACAAAGGGTGGTGAGAGAGCTGAAGTAGGGAAGGGGCCCTGGCCAGGATAGCCAAGGTGATAAGGACACAAGGAATTCCTGTTGGCTCTGTGGGATCCATGAGTAGAGGACAGATCTGGTGGCCCGAGAACAGAAATATCATGTTGCATCAGAAAGAAAGGTTTTGGATCCATTATTTAGACTAATGCCCCTGCTGGGATGGATTTAAGGAGGTGTATGACCTGTCCTTGTCTGGGAAGAGGGTGACCTGTCACGCGTTTGCCTTCCCAGGCACGATGGGGCTGTCCCAGCCTGCACATCCCCAGCTCAGCTGGGGTACAGACACTCCATCTATCTCCTTGTGATGAGCCAGAGTTGGGACTTTGACTTTTCAAATCTTCTCTCAGGAATACTCCTTAAAAATGAGAACAAATTAAACTTAATTTGATGTCCTTAAAAATAGCGTCTCAGCCAGAGCTGGCTCGGAAGGAGGTCACAGTGTTTGCTTGATATTCAGTACCATTTCTTCTGGTGTCCGTGCTATTAGGCCTGCTAAATTTTTCAGTCTCAAACTGTCTCCTGGATAACTTTGAGGATCTTAAATGAAATTACCCTTGTGTCTCGTTGGGAGTAACACCCTAGGCTCCTCTCTGGGGCACGTGGCACTGGTTGCTGCTGGCGACATTGCATTAGACAGAGCAACTCCCATGCACCACTACTAATGTGGGCAACTTTGCTGCAGATCTGCCTGGTACTATTTTTTTTTGTCTGTGCTTATTTTTTTACCAAAAAACCCCCCCCCGAATCATGAGATCTATTCCCCCCCACATAAAATGTCAATTCTCTGGTTATTTACCTGTCAGTGGGGGATGCTGTCATTAGTCAGAGGCCCTTATTATAGGCCCTGTAATCACCTCTTTTATAATAACATGTAAGTGTTCTTCAGTTTTATGAAAATTTCAGCAAAACCTGTCAACTGAAAACACCAGTTTATGGATGAAAACCTTTACCCCCATGGAAGTGTTTCACCTCTCAGGGTGGGACCACAATAGGGTAATTGCACATCACCTCGTTAGGACACCGGGTGGTGGATAAATGTACTCTGGGACTTGAAAGGGCCCGGGTGGTGGATAAATGTACTCTGGGACTTGAAAGGGCATCGAGGGGATCCTGGCTACATAATGACTCACTAGCAAAATGCAGAGGGTTTGTCACTAATGTTCTTGTTTCACAGTATGGATTTTTTTTTTTTTTAATCTTTAGTGTGTGGATGGGGAGGAGGTGACTGGGAACTTGCTGAAGCAGTTCAGCTAGTGAAGGTCATAGGAGAGTCTTGTCCCTGTTTAGAGAAAAATTGAAACAGGAATCAGCAATGAAAGAGAGGACTCTTGAACTGAGATTGGAGTGTTAAGGACTAAACCTGTCTCATGAAAGCAAATGAGAAAAGCCTTAGTTCTTAAAAAAGATTTTAAGATATAGAATCATAGAATGGTTTGAGTTGGAAGGGACCTTAGAGCTCATCCAGTTCTACCCCCCTGCCATGGGCAGGGACATCTTCCACTAGCCCAGGTTACTCCAAGCCCCATCCAGCCTGGCCTTGGACACTTCCAGGGCTGGGGCATCCACAGCTTCTCTGGGCAACCTGTGCCAGGGCCTCACAGGGAAGACTTTCTTCCCAATATCCCATCTAAGCCTGCCCTCTGGCAGTGTGGAGCCATTCCCCCTTGTTCTGTCACTTCATGCCTTCGTGAAAAATCCCTATCCAGGAGGTAGATATTTATGTTTGGGTTTTTTTTAAAACAGCTTTGAAATCTTAAGATTTGGAAGCTGTTGTAGAATCGTTAAGGTTGGAGGTGGCCTCTGGAGCTCATTTGGTCCTACCTCCAGTTACACCCTTGGTCTGCCCAGGAATCCTTATAATCTCCATGGACTGTGACCTGTGTCCTCTGCTAAGTGACTGTGGAGTTCTTGAAGTGCCTTTTCCCTGTTTCCTGCACTGGAGTTTTGTCTCCCCAGAGCTTTTGGAATCTCTTGGTTTTGCTTTGGCCTAAAAAAGTGTCAGAGGAACAGCAAGAGTTCCATGTCCCATGCACCATGATGGCATGATGTTGAAGTGCTCAAGCACAGACTGATGACCCTGAAGAGATGGGAAAGGGCAGAAGGGCATCCAGGAGGACCTCCCTGTGGAGAGATGTGAAGTGTGCATGGAGTCACCGCGGGACAAAGTGAGGTGGTGGGAAATAATTTGGGATGAGAGCAAAGTTCTTGAGGGGAGCAAGGAGATGAACGTAGAGCCTGTCAGAAGAAATGAGCATGAAAGAGGGAGTCTGTCTTCTGAAAATCCAGCTGTGAGAGGGCTGCTTGGATGTCTGGAATGCATTTAGGTTATGGTCGCACTAGTTGTGAAGGAAATTACTTTGGTGGAGGGGGCAACACACTTCTTAGGAAGACTTCAAAGGTTTCGAGGTTTGAGGGGATGTGTGAAGAGTGACTTGCACTCTCTGGAGAGGTGCAGCCAGCTGGGGTTGGTTTTTCAAGAGACCTTAATTATCTTCAGAGGAAACGGAAAACCCTCTGAGAAATGCAGTGAAGCCTCTGAGTCAAAGTTGGATAAGCTGTCCTGCTTTTTGGGGCTGAAACTGCTTTCCCTGTGGGAGTGCTGCTTGTCTTCCACATGCTTCCCAAGTGCCTTGGACATGGCTTTCAGGGACGTGGGATGATTCTTGGGTGGTCCTGGGCAGGGCCAGGAGTTGGAGTTGATGATCCTTGTGGGTCCATTCCAGCTCAGGACATTCTGTGATTCTGTGATTTGGGAGTACAGTCAGAGATTGCTCTGGATGCCCAAGTTTCTCTGTAAGGTGTCCTGCAGCCTCACTGCTTTCGTGCTTTTGCCTGTGCTGTTGGGATGGTAGTGGGAATGAAAAGTTAATGAAAAAAAACCCTGTCCGTTAGCATGGAATGCATCGAAAAGGGTTCTGTCAAGAACAGGCTGGTTGGAAGGGTTCATGTGTCAATTGCAGAACCAGATTTTGCAGAACAATTGTCCAAGATTTGTTAGGGATCTTGGTGAAATCATTTCTGCTGTGGAGCAGCCTGACCCCGAGGCTGCCGAAGGGGGATGTTTCTCACCAAACCCACAGACTCCCTCACGTTCTTGAGCTCTTCTTTTGTGGCTCTGTTTTGTGTTTTATGGCACGTTGCCATTGTGTTATGCTGTTAATGTGCCAAATGCATTTTCTAGTGTTGTTCAAAAGATGCTCTTTAACCTTTCCCGTGTCCTTCTGTCAAGTGCCAGAAACACTGAAGTCTGTTTCTGGCTGACTGGTTTTCAATCCCTCTTGTCTCCGCGCGTCGCTGTGAACTTGGGTATCTGAGCAAATGTGTTTTCCTTGTCTGGACTCGTTAGTTTTTTGAGCATCAGAAATGAGCACATCGCCTTCCTGTGCTGCCCTGTCCTGTCCAGGGGGATTTCTGCTCCACGGGCAGAGGTTGGACCTCTGGGCTTTCCTTTCGGGCGGGCCGCCCGATCCGATGGCAGAACAACCTCCCCCGTGTCATGCTGTCAGCTTTGATGACTTTAAAGTCAGGCACATCACTTGCACTGGAACGTGGCTCTGCAGTGCAGAGGAAGCCCAGGCTTTTTTCAGGCTTTAACTTGTACTGGAGCTAAGGACAAAAGAAATAATATGTAAATGACTTTCAGGGGGTTCACTTTTAGATCATTAGGTTTGAATTGTAGAATCTCGGAATGGTTTGGTTTGGAAGGGACCTTAAAGACCACCTCTTTCCAATCCCCTGCCATGGAGGGGCATGACCTCCCACTATCCCAGGTTGCAGAATGGGCAGACATGAGCCTGTGGGGTGACCCTGGCTGTGCTGGGTGGGTTTGATTTCGGTTGCAGTAGCTCCTGACAGCTCAGAGGAGAGTGTATGGAGGGATTACACTGTCCCACCCATTTTGTGAGGAGTGACAGGGGCACGACAAGGAGGACGAGCAGAAGCGCTGACCCTGTGTGCTATTCCTGGTGTAAGTTTTACCTTGTTTAAAGATTCCATGCAAAACTTGCAAGGCAGTCGCTTTTCGTCTTCCCCAGCCCCTAAAAAAGAGATGAGATAGTCTTTAAATAACTTTCTCCGTGGCTCTAAAGGCCTTAAACTGCCAAGCTAATACCAAAAGCTGTTATAATAGTGCAGATAATGGCCCTGTTATTTTTTATCTCTGGAACTTGGTCCCAGTCAGGTGCTCCTCAGGCAGCTAAAAATACTCTGGCTGCAGGACAGTGAGCAGGGTAGGGCAAAACCCTCTTTCTGGGAGGCAGGAGCGAGGCCTTTGAAGTTCAGCTCTGAGATAAGCAGGTTTTTCAGCAAAGTGGATGGCCTAGAAGAGAGCTGGTGCAGGGTAAATCTGCTCTCTGCAGCATCCCACGGCTCAGGTGCTCCTGCTCTGCACCTGTGGCTTAGTCCTGAGCAGGAGGCACCTAATGATAGCTCCAGAAAGAATGTCTTTTACATATAAATATTAAATATAACTGATGAAAAGAAACCCATCTGCATTTATATAACCCTGTAGTTTAAACGTGCAAGTCTATCTGGCGTAAATAAAACATGTATATAATTGCATAACTAAGTGCCATTTTAATATTTATATATGCTCTCTGTTATTTCTATGCGTGTCCATAATTGGCTACACTTAAAACCTGTGAAATATAAATAAATCTGGGGTAGCATGGCGTGCATGAGTGGCTGCTGCATTTATTTCACCCCCCTTACTGGGGATAGGCAGGAGATGCTTATCCCAGTGTCCAGAGCCCTTCTGGTGTGTTTTGGTTTGCTGTCATGAAATCAAAGGCTGCTTCAGAGCAGCGCTGAGAAATATTCCTCAACTGTCTTGAGGTTTCCTTCTCACTGTTTGCTGCCCCTATTTCCTCTGTCATTTTTCATATAAAGATCTATGTAAAGTCCTGATGGATGATCCAGAGCTCTGCCTGATGCTGCACAGTTATTCTGTGGTTTCTAGGCTTTTGTCCCATCCAATTTTAAATATTGCCTAACACTTCTCTTCCAGCTCTTCTCTTTTTCTAACCTAAATTACCCAGTCAGTCATTTTCTGTTAAAACTTGTGTGTGTATATGTGCCCTACTGGCAGTGATCCATGGGATGAACCCATCAGCTGTGGCTCTTCAGCCCTCAAGAGCAACAATTTCACTCCTTGTTTCCTTTGATTTTCAAGAATTTTGTTTTGTGTCGAGCTCGTTGGGCTAGAAAAGTACAAAATAAAATATGTGTACAGCTAGGTGCTTTCCTCGAACGCCCTTATGTTTTTCTGTAGAGTTTTTGGGCTTTTGGCTGGTTAGCAGAGAAGGACCTAAATATATCCTGGAAGAATGAGTCTGTATGGGAAGTGTAATGATGTATTTAATATTTGAAATCCCAGCATATTTTTATATGCTGCTATACAGCTGTATGTGCTTAGAAAATAACAAAACAAAACAAAATTTCCCTGATCTTGACAGTATATTGCATTAACTTAATTTTACCATTATTTAGTGGGTAAAAACTGCAGATGCTGGAGAGGATGGTAAGCTCAAGCATTCTTTAACTGTTAATGTGTGAACAGTAGCCCAGGTAGTGCTGTGAGGTGTTCTTTTAAGTCATTGCAGTTTTTTAGGATTTCTCCATTCTCTGCCCTATTCTACCAAAGCAATTTCTTGGGCAACACCTGATATCTTGCTGTACCGTGGCCAAATTTTTTCAAATTTTGCGTCCTGATTTCAGCCTAAATAGAAGGCAGAGGGAGGGTTTGGTGTCCAGGACATCCGTGGCACAGGAGATTTGGATGTGTGGGAAGGGGACATGGCAATCATTCGGCTGTGGCAGGACAGGTATGTGGGTCTGAAGTCCCAGCCCTGTGTGTAACTGGGGTTAAAACATCATGGGATTGGAATCCAAGTGATCCCAAAAAGGCAGAGATTTCTTAAGAACTATGATTTTAGTATTATTTAATTTTAGTATCTAAGAATTGTTATTGTACTGCTATTATTATTTTAAATGAGATAAACCAGAACTTCCCGCATGTTTTCTCAGGTGGCAGTTTCTGGAAGTATTCGTTCACCAAAAATAGCACTAAAAAAATAATGCTGGTGCCTGAGTAACTAATGTAACTTAAGTGTAAAAATACTCCCTTAATCTTTGATTTTTTTTTTCCAGCAAGAGCAGCTCTGGCTGTTGGAACAGAACCAGAACTTTGGGTGTTTTTTCGCTGGCAGTGAAATTTTAGTGCGTTTGTCAGGAGTATACAAGAAAATAGAGTAGCACACGCTCCTAGAACTGGTCCATCTTCCCACCTTGCAGGTTCCCAGGGGCACTGACCAGAACTGGGCACAGAAGCTGTACGACCGCCACGGCTCCAGCCAGCACTTCCAGAAACCCCGCATGTCCAACACCTCCTTCATCATCCTGCACTTCGCTGATAAGGTACCCAGGGCTGGAAATGGGAAGTGCACGGAAGGGAAATAAACAGCCACGTGAGGGAAAGTTAGTTCACAGCCCCAGCGAGCTGCTTTTCGGTGACAGGGGTGCCTGGGTGGCAGATATCTCGGCTCGGTGCTCGAGTCTAGGTCAGCTCCGAGGACTTCAGCATCAGAACTGTTGCTCTAAGCTGTAAATTGTCTTGGTTTCTAGAGGAGAGTAAAACCCTCTTTTTCAAAGCTGCGGCGAAATGAATTTCTGTAAGGGCAGCTTGACACAAAATGTATTGGAAAGGGGAATTACTTCTGAAGGGCAGGAGCTGCGAGTGTCAGTGAGGCACAGTGTGGGGAGGAGGTGAGAGGTGATCCTCTCTGATCCCACCCTTCTGAGGGAGAAGATGCCAACTGTGGGACTAAACTAAACTAAATCCCAGTGTCTGGAGCTGTAGGGGCATCTCCATGGGCTCCAACTTCATCAAAACCCTGATGTGACAGGTGTCACTCACGGCAAATGACAATCTCAAAAGCCTGCAGTTATCCCAAAGACCCATTTGTTGGGGAAAAAAAAAAAAGACCAGGGATGTGTCTGAGGAGCCAGACAACAAGCAGGTGCTTTGCTGCCACACAGGTGCTTCTCCTAACCAGATTTGCCCTGGATGTGAGAGGCACTTTTCATGGCAAAGGTTGGTACTCACCTTTCCTTAGGCATTTGGTTTTGCACTTGTATCCCTCACAATCAATATCTCTCTGCAAGTTTCCCCTCCCTTTTTTTTCTTGTGGTCAGTTATTTCAGCCAACTTCAAATGTAAAAAATGAAATTTTCTTCTGTCCTCTCTAAAGTATACTTTAAAGAATGTTTTTCTAAGTTCCTTTGCATCCCAACCCTCTGCAGTTTCAAAAACTAAGAGACCTACAAGAGACATAGCCAAGACATCTTTTGAGGTTTATTGATTAGCTTGCAAGAAGATGAGGAATGAACAAAAGAGCTTGTAGAGTTACTGATGAACTTCACGGTTTTTTCCCCTCTGGTTTCCATACAGAGCAGTTCAATAACTAAGAAACAATCTGTGTTTGCAGCAAGGGTTTTGCTTTTATTCAGATTCACTTCTTCTGATTTAAAAGTGACCTTTAAATTCCAGTTGTTCTCCCCTTTCCCTCTCTCAGGTTTTTCAGGTGAACTCTGGATAGCAGGGGAGCGGTGGGAGCACCTTGTCCCTGTGTGGTTTGACTTTACCCTCTGAGCTTCCTTTTGTCTCCTGCTAGGTGGAATACCAGAGTGAGGGATTTCTGGAGAAGAACAGGGACACCGTGTATGAGGAGCAGATCAGCATCCTGAAAGCCAGCAAGGTAAAAGCAGTAAATCATGGCAGTGGTCCTGGTTGGAGCTAAATTGTGTGTTCCTGTGCCATACCACAGCATGTTGGGTATGTGAACATGTAACAGCAGCAAAAGAGGCAAATACATGGGATGTGGAGGAGGGAGAAAGGGGGTAGAGGAGAGTGCTGGGGGCTACAGTCACACCCATGTGTGGGTACGTGTGGTTATACATGTTCTTTCACCCTGGTGTTGGTATCCTGTCATCACAGAAATCATTTCCAAACCTGCTGATCCTCTTCTTATTTGGTCACCAAGAACCAAAATTAGGAACAGCTAGTTACTGGGCATTGTATATCCCACTTAACTCTTGCTTGGAGCTCCCCACTCATCAGCTGGCACTGAAGGTGTTATCATAGAATCACAGAATGGTTTTGATTGGAAGGGACCTTAGAGATCATCTTGTTCCAACCCCCTGCCATGGGCAAGTATACCTTCCACTGGACTAGGTTGCTCAAAAGTAAGGTGATCCTGGGGTTAAAAGCCATGGTCAGCAGTGTAATCTGTATATTGTGGGTAGCTTTGACGACCCTATCACCCTTCCATATGAAAATCGCTGTTTGTCTTAGCTGTAGGCCATCATACATGTCCCTGTATCTTCTAATTACTTTAATAATTAGTATGCAAAAGATAGGGTTAATACACAACGCTGGAAATGTTACCCAAACTCTGAGGCATCCCAGCTGCTGTGGAGCTGTTTTACACCACTGCCAGTATACAGTTTTAACAAATCAACTCATATTCGTGATCACGCTGCCACTCCTGTGTTACAAGATTTCGTGCCTTGTGCCTTTCTTCTCTTGAGTGTTGTACAAACAACTTGTCAACATCTCATTGCTTCAAGTGCCAGCGGGGGTGTATTGACTGACTTTGCATACCAGGTCTCCTGCTAAAGAGCATTTTGGCTCTCAGTGTTAAAAATCTCTGGTATTTCTGTGGGCTGGGGATTTGGTGGGATGTTGGAAGCAGAAGAGCAGTAGCTGTGGGGCTCTGCAGGCTTTGGTGTGGGTCCTGTCTGCAGTGAAAGGGCATTTGGCAATGGGCTTCAGGTTGGACACTTCACAGCTCTATGTATAAATTGAGCAGATTTTACACTGACTTCCAGTACCACACTCTTGTCTCCATGAGCACTTGGGGGGATTGGGTTAAAGGTGTCAATAGCACAGACATCTAAGGAATTTCAAATACTTGCTGTTTTAAAACCAGACCAAAAGTTCTTCCCTGCAGCCTTGAGTCTTTCATTGTCAATTAATGAGCTGAAACTTCATAGACAGCCTCATCCCTTCCAGGGGCAGCTTTTATTAAAGAGTTAGAATGAAAACCCAGCCCTGCAAAGTCCAACACCTACATCCTGCATCCAAAAAAAGGCTGCGTGACTTTGGGGCACTGCTGTCCCACCAAACCCTGTGCATGGTTTAAGGAAGGAATGTATCTGCTTTTCTACAAAACTTTTCAAAGCCTGCCACAGCATGGGCCAGTATGTTAAATTGGTTTTGGGTTTTTTTTGCATTACAGATTCTGGACTCCCCTGCATATTGCAAGGAAACGTGTCACATATCCGGACCTCTCTTTGTGCCACCCTCCCTTGGGTTTACTTCTGACTGTCACCTTCCAAAGGCACCCTAAAGAAGGAGTGGGGTGAGGGGAGATGGAGGAAATAGTGGTTTTAGAAGCATTTTAAGCAGGAGCTTATTCCTGTCAAAGTTCTGAGATGAGGATGGGAAATTATTTGACTGTTGTCAGTGGCTTGCCCTGTGTCCCCACCAGGAATTCATATGAAGATGACAGGATGAGCAAATTTCTCATCCGTGGGGGTAATTGTGAGACTAATAACTGTGAAGCTGGACGTTAATAATGCCCAAATCAAGATCTCTGCATGTTCAGGAAGCTTCTCAGGGCAAAATCTGGGCATGATTAGAGCTTATTAGAAATGCCAGGTAGCCTCCAGGAATAATTGATGCTGTATGATGAATTATTTAGCCAGTGCTGAACTTGCTGTTGAAATCAGTGCTGCAGAACTGGCAGTGTCTGGTAGGGATTTCTGTTTGACTTGGTTGCAGAGAAGAGATGTGGTCTATTGTTGTAGAGTGTTGGGGACCCTGGAACTCCCTCTGTGAAAATGAGAGATTTTTAAAAAATGGGGAAATAGGTCTCTCTGTCCTATACAGGGACTATAATATAATACCAGAGCAGGCTGGACTTTCATTTAATAGCTGAAAAAACCACCAAACCCTGCTCCTTGCAACTAGTTTGCTTGACCTAAAAGAACCCCAAACAAATCAAACCGTAAAAAATTAATGTGAATGTCTTGGGACCCAAGATTTGAGTTTACTCGTCCTGCAAACTAGGGTAATGGTCCTTGGGGTCAGGTGTTAGGACCCTGTGGCTTCACGGTGGCAGCTTTGTAGGCGACACCAACATTGCATTTGTGATCATGGAATCACAGAATGGTTTGGGTTGGAAGGGACCTTAATCACCATCTCGTTCCAAACCCCTGCCGTGGGCAGGGACACCTTCCACTAGACCTGGTTGCTCCAAGCCCTGTCCAACCTGGCCTTGGACACTCCCAGGGATGGGTCAGCCACAGCTTCTCTGATCCAGCACAAAACACTCTCAAATGCACTTGGCTCTGAGAACATTTGGGGGATAGTTTGAAGAATTTCTGCCTTTAAGCCATTTCTTTAATGACATGGGGGCAGTGACTGTTACCAGCCTGTGCCTATGCTGTGCTGTCCTGGGAAAAAGAGCAGCAGGAGCATCCTCACCTTCCTCCTGAAAAGCCTCTAAAAGCTGATGATCTGCTCTTGGTTTCCCTAACCCCTGTTTGCCAGCAGACTGTGTTATCCTGTTTTTTTGTTTGATTTTTTTTTTTCTCTTGACTGCCATGTGCCTCCCAGAGCTATAAACAAATAAAACCAATTTTCTTTTGCTGCAAAAAGCAACCTGGTCTCTCTGAACCGAAGAGAGTAGCAGTGGCAGTGCCGAGTCTGCTGCTTAGATGTGCTAGTTTGATTAAAACTTAAATTTGTGCGGCAGAAGGCTGTGCTGTGAGGACTTTGTCCTGTCCTCAGGACCAGGCCTGCATACAGTATTCACTGCTTTCTTGTTTGTATTCCCACCAAATCTATGTGGAGGGCAAGGGGGAACACTCAGTTTAACACAGCAAGGACCTAAACACCTCTCCATCAACAACCACATCTCTGATGAAGCACTCCCACCAAGGCAGAACTGCCTTCTGCTAATTAGAATGCAATTAATGCCATCAACAGGACAGTGAAAGAAACTTTATAGAGCAGCTAATTAGTTCTGTTAGTGCTGGTCAGCTAAAACAGTTGAGAGTTGATGTTCTTTGAATTAGGGAAACTGTTTTGACTACTGATGGAGAGGAGAGCATACAGGTATGCTGCATAGGTATTGTACTCCAGTTCCTTTGTAATTATGAATAATGCACTGATGGTTTTGGCTCTGCCAGTTGGGAAGGAGGGATCTGTCCTTCTTGCTTATCCCCCAGCACCTGTGGAATAGATCCTGGGCTGCTAAGGATGATCCCAGCGTTGCATTATGCGAGCCGAAAGCTCAGCTCTGAGATCCTTCTCCAGGAATAAGCAATGCTGTTATTGATTAGCGAGTGGATGGCACTTCCAGCTATGTGTTCAGAGGATATTTCAAAATCCAAAATTACAGACAGGGGTTTTACCACATTGTGAAGTGTGAGATAGTGATGCAGAGCCCGTGTTGGATATCTTACAGTATCAAGCCTATGCCATCCAGACATCCCAGGTTTGCAGGAGTCAAAGCATCCAAGGCAGTGACATGTCATCCAAGTACAACAGCTGTCAGGATGTCTCTTTTTTGGGGATAGAGGATCAGGCAAAGAAGGTGAGAGCCTTTGTTCTGGTAGGAGTTGAGTGAGCCCCAGAGATCAAAATAAAAACTGTGAGTATGAAGCAGATCCTTAGCAGGCACTGTCCTGGAGTCCAAGATGTGAAAATTTAACAGCCCTGCTAACCATGCCAGATTTAAGGTGGCTTGCTTAATATTCAAGTTCCCCAGTCTAATGCAAATTTGAATATCCTGCTCCTTAAATAATAATAATTAAAAAAAGACATTAAGTGCATTTGCCAGCTCACCTGTTCTCCTGTTTATGAAGTGGAAATGTTGCTGCTGGCTTGCCAGAAATCCCAGACTTTAGGGATCCGAGGAGCCAAATGTGGTGCATCCAGGGCTGTGGAATGGTGTTCCTTGCTTGTTCAGCTGATAGGCAGGTAATTAGCGAGGAAGTGCTGGTGTATCTTTAATTGTTAGAGAAGCAAGGGTGCCTCTGAGGCCATGGTGGGACCTTCTCACATGGAGACCCCATTACTGGGGTGTGTGCTGTTCAGGCAGCATCCTTGATGAGGCCAGGGCTGGATGAATATTCTGAAAACAAGCCCACAAAACTCGGGGGGTTTTGTGTCTTGACAAGACTTCAGCCTCTTTTTTTTGCACATTCAGGGTCTGATGAACTATGAGACAGAATGGCCAATGGTCCTGATGTAGGTTGTATAGACAATGCTTCTTGCTTTCACTTTTCTTGCCCTTTTTCCCCTTCCAGGTTTAAGATGGGTAAAAAATGACCTGACCAACGTGACTTGGGTGGGTTCATTCCCCAGTGAGCAGGTCCAGAGTTGCTCAAGTGTTGTTGTTTGTTTTAGTATCCAATGGTGGCAGACTTATTCCACGAAGAGAAGGGTGCTGTGCCCGTCACTCCTGTGGGAAAGGGAACATCCAAAATCAGTGTCCGTTCTGCCAGGCCAGCCATCAAAGCTGCCAACAAGGAGCACAAGAAAACAGTGGGACACCAGGTAATGTATGATTTGAGTGAGTCAGTCAACAACAGGGGAATCCAGTTAAGATCTTGTTGCCTCAGTTTGAGTCAGATAAATGAAAAGCTGTTGGGGATGGAAAGGCACTTTCCCACGACCCATGTTTGGCTGTTGCATTTTGGGTGACTTGTAGCAGTGTCTCTGGAAGAGGAGGCTTGAGTAGTTGTGACTGGAAGTAGTTGAGAGGTTTAAGGAGGGTGGAGCCACTCTAGGATTCACTGGAATGTGTCCCACTGTACTATGGAACTCATAAATTGAAACAATTTCAGAAAAAGAGCATTTTTCCCCTTGTGTGGACAGTCAGATGGTGCAACAAGGGCCCAGAGAGGTTGTACTGTCTCCACCCTTGGAGATATTTCAGAGACCCAACTGTGTAGAGTCCTGAGCAAACACTTGTTACTCATGAACCTTAAGCTGGAAGTTCTCAACCCACCAGTTGCTGAATGTGCTGGGCAGGCGGGGAGGTTCACGCTGCGTCACATCCAGGGGCTGGTGCCCTGTGGCACCTGCCAGCTTGGGCTGCAGGGCTGCATCACCCTCCTCCCTCCTCAAAATGAGTGGCTTTTTCTTCCAGTTCCGCAATTCGCTGCATTTGCTGATGGAGACCCTGAATGCCACCACCCCACACTACGTGCGCTGCATCAAACCCAACGACGAGAAGCTGCCCTTTAAGTAAGTGGGCTTTCATATGAGCAAATATGTTCAGCTTTAGAGCAACAGAGTGTGCTTTGGGACCTTCCCCTTGCCAGGGACATTGCCCCCTCCTTGTAATGTTGTTCCTGTAACTGGAAGGTTGCAGGAATATTTTGCTGGAGTCACTTTTTTGGGTTTCGTTATGTGCGTTTTGTGCCTGTGAAATGAAGACTAATTCAGGTTACAGTAATTCATAGATATACTCTGCTAATAATACTGAGCATCCTTGCTTTGCAGTAATAGGGTCTTTGTACAATTTCTTCTTAGACTTGCTTTGATTTAAATAGTTACGGTTCTAAGCAGTGAAAAGATGAAGAAATTAAAATGCAGAGAAAAGTAGTGGGCTTGCAAAATGAACAAAAATGTCTTGGTGCTTCCAAAATAAATGTGGAAAAAGTAAAGACGTGACTTGTATCAACTTCAGGCAGGTTTCCAGGTGAGTGAACAGCTGAAACAAAAAGCCAGTCTTGATCTTCCTCTGTAGTTCAGAGACGTATCGTGAGCGGCAAGCGCTGTGAGCAGAGAGCTTTTAGCCTTGCTTGACCTCTTGGTCGTGTCTTTGTACCCAGTTTTGTTCCCTTCAGCTCCAAAACCCTTGTCTGTTAGTATGTAGGAGCCTCATAGATCAAGTTGTGATGTCCTTTAAGGGCGTAAACTGCAGGTGGTGACCTTTAAGAAAGCAGCTTCTGACTGTAACCCATCAGCAGGGAGGCATTTCCCTCCAGCTGATCCAACGCAGGCTGAGGGCTCCCAGTGAGCACAGTGCAACCTCAGGGTGCAGAGACAGCTCCAACAGTGTCCTGAGAGGAGGGTGAAGCACCTGTAAACAGGCTCACCTTTGGTCACAATGTGCTGGTGGAGATGTATCCACCAGGAAGCTTCCTGGCTTGACTCTTCTTCCCCTGCAAACAGCAAAGTGAAGGGTATTAATGGTTAGAAGATGTTCGGACACGGGTTTATATTTAACTGTTTCCTTAGATGATTAGTTATCAGCTCTGGAGAAGGCTGTGTTGGCTGCCTGTGCTGGGATGGCAGTTCCTGTACTCTGTTGTATCTGTTTCATGTACCTTTTTGTAGGTACTGGAGATGCTTCGGGACACACCTCAGTCTCCTGTTGCCTATTGCAGTGTTTTTCTATTTAAATGAAATTCAGGAGTAACACTTTGTGATTGATTGTTTTCTTTAGCTAAAACACAGAAGTATTTTCTGAATTGCTGTAGTGAAAGTGTCAAGGATGTTCCACGTGGTGAAATATCTTCACCTTTCCAAAGGGTGTTTCCAATACTCCATGTCCATACTCTACTATACTTTCAGCCCATCCATCTTCACTTCTTTACCTTTTAACTTTTCAATTCAGTTTTTCATGTGATGCTCAGGATACAGTTAATATAATTTCACAAATGTGTGAGCTCCTGATGAGGAAGGTGCAGTAATTGTCTGAATTAACTCAGTTGTACTTCTAAGCTGTTATGTGTAGCAAATAATAAGAGGATAATTCTGCCAGTGTCTGCTGGCAGTTTAAGTGATGTCTTGGTCTGATGTGATGTTCCCCATCTGGTAAATGTCAGAGTTGTCCAAGCTCAGGGTTTTGAGAACAAAGGATAAACTAAAATAACACACAAGAATGGTTCTGGTTCAGGTGTCTCCTACTGGGGGGTTCTGCAAGAGATGATTTCCCTCCTCACCTGCCATGGATTGCTTAATTGACATGCAATCTGAGAATCTTGGTCAATATTGATCTTGCTGCCACCAGCTTGAGGAATTTGTATCCTGAGCTTGGCTTGAATAAAGTCACAGAATCATTAAGGTTGGAAAAGCCCCTCCCAGACCATCGAGTCCAACCCATGCCTGACCCCCACCTTGTCCCCCAGCGCCATGTCCAGTTGTTCCTTGGACACCTCCAGGAGTGGGGACTCCACCAACTCCCTGGGCAGCCCCTTCCAAGGCCTGACCACCCTTTCCATGAAGAAATTCCTTCTGATGACCAACCTGAACCTCCCCTGGCACAGCTTGAGGATGTTTCCCCTTGTCTTGTCCCTTGTTCCCTGGGAGTAGAGCCCGACTTCCCCCAGCTCCCCCCTCCTGTCAGGGGGTTGCAGAGCCAGAAGGTCCCCCCTGAGCCTCCTTTTCTCCAGGATGAGCCCCCCCAGCTCCCTCAGCTGCTCCTCATCAGATTTACCCTCTAAAGTCTATTTGCTTATAAGTAAAACTTGAGTCTGGAGAATACTGGGATGGCTGTAAAGGAGTCTGTGTTTCAGAGCCACATATTGGAAAATACACAGTGCTGGGAGGCATCTGTGAAGTGAAACACCAGTGGCACTGCTCCAGGTTAGCACTGAAGTGATATCTCGTAGCATGCAGAACACTCAGCATTATGTTTGTTGTTCAGTGAGAAAACAAGTCTTCTCTTCCTAAAACATAACATTTTTCAACTCACAGGAGCATTACATTTTTTTGCTAAAATGAGGTGTTTGTCCTGGAGAAGAGAAAGGACCTGATAGCAGCCTTTCAGTACTTACAGGGGCTACCAAGAGGACAAACCCATGCTCTTAACAGTGGTGTGCAGTGGGAGGACAGGAGTCAATGGCCCCAAATTGACACGAGATATTCAGAATGGGGATGGGTAAACGTGTTTTTTTCTCCCTGAGGACAGTCTGTCGATGGAACAGTCTGCCCAGAGGGATTGTGCAACTTCCATCTTCGGAGGTTTTCAGCTTCTGATGGGTTGAAGCCCTGAGCTATGGGTCTGCCCCCATAGCTGTCCCAGCTTTTAAACACAGGAGTTTGATTTCCTCAGGTTTCTTGCACCCTGCATTACTTCCATTCCTACTTTACAGCTTGGTAAAAACATAAGATCTACAATGAGGGTGAGGGGTGTTAGGCTTCCATCCTGGAGGAAACATTGGCACCATGCAGTGATATTTGCTGCATCTGGCTGCAGGCTGTGTCTGAGGTTAATCCCTAATGGAGAAGACCGCAAAAGGCAGATGTGCAAGGGGAATGCCTGACTTCAGGTTGTTCCTTTGTCAATTTTCCTTTTAAATTCTGTTTCGGGCAGGGTTTGTGATCTTTTACTTGGGTTTCCAGGCCAAAAGCAACCTTCTGCCAGTTGCTTCTACCTGCCATGGCAAGGAAAAGAAGTTTTTAATAGTGCGTATGGTCCCACTTTGAAGCTCTTTATTTCAGTGTTAGCCCATAGCTGGAGTTTTTGCAGATAGACAACTGCACCCTCTCTGGTTACTGCATTTCACCTTCTCTGAGCAGGGCTCGTCTGCTTTGGAGAGAGTTTCCCTTGTGTACGACGTAGATTGCCCTGGGATCTTCCAGGTCTGAAGCTTCCCCGTCGATCTGCCAGTCCTGTTTATTATTTATTGTTATGGAAATTGTACCCTTGTGGTTTCTTCCTTGAAGTGAGTGACAGCCCAGACTTGATTTTTCACCCTACGCAGTGTTTGTGGTGTTGCAGCGAATAACTTGCTGGTAGTCTTGACAGGTCCAGGGAATTTAAAAAAGCACAGAGAAGAAGTATTTTCCATTCTGCTTTTGTACTGCAGAGACCAGGCAGAATTATTCATGTAGTCTTGACTTGTGGGTGTAAATATTTTGGGCTTTCAGGGAGAGACAAGCAGATCCCTGAGAAGTTTTAGCTTCTCACCCTTGCTGTGGAAACCTCACACAGCTGTGTACATCTGCACTGTATGAGTCCAAGCTTGATCCAAGGAACTCTTCCAGGATCTTCCAGGGCTGAAGAGCTGGGACCTCTTTGTGCATTCTGTGTTGGGGTGGAAGGAGGGAGCAGCAATGGAGGACACTGGTACCTGGACTCACTCTGTGCAAAGATAGACTGATCTGGGAGTGGGCTCATGCCAGGAACCAGAGAGAGCACAGCCCAGGTATTCAGCTGGAAGTTGTCATGAAGTTTTTTTGGCACAAATTGCTGATGGAAATGAGATGCCAGTGGTAAGGGATGATGCCAGCTAAAAAGAGGAGGGCAGAAACCCCTTGCATTAGTCAGGAACCCCTCGATGTTAGTCAGGAGCATGAGCACCACTGTTCTTGGTAAATGTAGTCTGTAAATCCATGGGACCTGTTTTTGGTATGGAGTTGAATATATCAGATTTATTTTGCTGTTGAATTTGACTTCTGGACCTTATAACTGCAGAAGTAGTACTGTCTGGTTCATCAGGCAGCTTGAGGTGGAGTAGCCTGTTCCCTTCTGTATTGTAATTGTATTGCTTTACAAAGCTGGGTAGATTATGGCTGTAGGGACTAATTAATTGCAGCAGACTGTCATCTTATCCCAAGAAAACCACTAGGGATTGATAGCAGGGTGGTAGCAAAGCCTGTTACGCTTGAAAAGTACAGCAACTTGTGACATGGAGAGGAAATGTGTGACATCTGTGCAGTGTGTTCCCAAAGCAAGGCATGAGTTATACTAGGACTTGTGAGGGAATGGCTCTGGACTAAAAAGTACAGAAGATGGTTTTATTCAACCCCTACTCTAATGATGAGAGCTGAAGACAATTCCTGTCTCTGCAAGAGTCGCTATCAGGTGGGTTGAAAGCGTGGATTCCTTTTCGCTTAATCTCTTCCTTTTCGTGTTAATCTCTATCCTAAATATAATTGCAGATTTGATCCCAAGAGGGCAGTGCAGCAGCTGAGAGCCTGCGGAGTGCTGGAGACCGTCCGGATCAGTGCAGCTGGATTCCCATCCAGGTACTGGGCTGGGAGTTTGCTGGGGTGTTGTGCTGCTGGTGTGATTTACTCAGCAAGTTCCTTATCCCGCATCCTTGGAAGTGTTGAAGGCCAGGTTGGACAAGGCTTGGAGCAACCTGGGTTAGTGGAAGGTGTCTGCCCTTGGCAGGGGAGTGGAACAAGATGAGCTTTAAGGTCCCTTCCGAACCATTCTGTGATTACCTGAGGCGAAAGAGAGAGAGAAGGACACACTGGTGTTTTCAGGAAAAACAGTGTTTATTTAGATTGGTTTGTATCCAGGGTAGATTTTCTCCTTTTTATATTTTTTTTTTTTTTTACAGTTTGCCAAACTCCCATTAGGTCCTGAGTTCCTCAAATCTAAGAGATTCATTATCAGGCAAAGAGCTGCAAAGTGAGGCTGACAGAGGGTGTGTTGTGCTGTGCCCAGTGTTTCAGCTGGTGCTTTCAGTTTGGTCCTGAGATGTAATTTGATGTGGTGAAATACCTGAAAAAGCTGATGCCTGGCAGATAAAGGAATCCAGCTCTGATCCCAAATGGAGTTGGACATCAAGTAGCAAAACAACAGCTTTATATCCTCTGCACCCATCTTGCCTGGAAGCAAGCGTTGCCCTAGAGGACTTCTTCCCTGCTTGCCTGAAGCTCCTTCCACTGTACAATTTACTTTCCTTTGTGTTTTTTTTTTTTCTTCCTGGCATCAGACAGCTGTTGCAATTGTCATTTCAGAAAAAAAAAAATTGATTGTACTTGCAGAGAAAGAAAATAAGGGTTGTAAATTATTACTATAGACTTCCACACTGCACATCCAAAGCATGCGAGGCTTCAAAATCTTGCATCATAAAAAGGAAGGGTTATGGGTGGTGTGGCTCTTGCTGATTGTGTGATATAAAATTCAAAAGAGGTTTTTAAGGCATAATAAATCAGGAAACATAAACTATAAATAAGCCCTGAAGATGACAAGGGCAAATAATTCTAAAAATGCATCAATTGCGTTTTAGTGCCAAGCAGCTTTGTGTTCATGTCAGCAAAGCCATCAGCCTTTTTATATGGGACAAAGAAGTTATAAATATGCTCAGTGAAGAGTCGGCTGAGCGTGGTGATGTGCACCATGAGAAGCTCCCTGCCCTGGACTCTGGGGAGGACTCTGCTACTCTCATCTCCTACAAAGCTGCAAAGACCTTCTGGCAATTGATGGTGCTTGTCTGCATGTTGAGATCAGCTGGCTCTGCTGCA